AAGAAACCACCAAGAGACCCAAAAGCCCTGTGTCTGGTTTAAGGGCAAAGCTCTTGGGCTCCAAGCAAAGCTGTGGGAATCACAGGGACCTCACAGGACAAGCCCCCTACATTACTAGTTGTTTCCATGGACACAAGAAGAAAGGACAGGACTACAATAAAAAACAACCAGGCAGCCTGCAATTCCAGAGGAGGCTGGGGACAGCTGATAGTCCGTCATACACTCTCACAAAGCCCCTGCCACCCCAAGATAGAAAAGGCATTTTATCAACAGTCATCAATTATGCCAACTTTTTTTTGTAGTGACAACCCAGGCAGGAATTTAGAAATCATCTTTAAATAAACCTGTCTTCCTTCATGTAGCTTATTCACACTGTCGGGGGGGGGGGGTGCTTTATAAGACTATCCTTGATAAACTTTGCTATTCTAAAGCATTGTCACAGGCACAGAGCAGGCAAGGGCTGAGCCACCCCTGGTCTGGCTGTCAGAAACCTCTCTGCACACATCCTCACCCAGCAGCCTGGGGAGAGAAGCTGCCTTTGATTAGCAGACCCCGGATGCGCAGTGAGCAGGGTTCCAGGTCCGCAGGCTCTGTCCAGGGTTGAGTATTAGGGGACACACACTTGAGTTTAAACAGGCCAGGTGTGGTGGCCAGGCCTTTAATCCCAGCACTAGGGAGACAGAGGCAGGCAGACCTCTGTGAGTTCCAAAAGCCAGCCTGGGCTACAGAGTGAATTTTAGGCAGGCCTGGGTTACATAGTAAGACCCTATCTCAACAAAACAAGACAAAAAACAATCCTAGTAATCCAGTTGGCACTAGGGTAAAATACCAGAGAGATTTCTTCTGTCTTCCTTTCCCAAGTTTGCATCTACGATGTTCTTAATTTTTTTTTTTTTTTTGGTTTTTCGAGACAGGGTTTCTCTGTGTAGCTTTGCGCCTTTTCCTGGAACTCACTTGGTAGCCCAGGCTGGCCTCGAACTCACAGAGATCCGTCTGGCTCTGCCTCCCGAGTGCTGGGATTAAAGGCGTGCGCCACCACCGCCCGGCTCTTAATTTTTTTTTAATGATTATTATTTTAAACTTGAGGTGCATGGGTGTTTTGCCCACATGCAGGTTTGTGCACCACGTGTGTGCAGTGCCCACAGGAGCCATCCGATTCCCTGGGACTTAAGTTAGACATTTTTGAGCCACCATGTGGGTGCTAGTTATCCAACCCAGGTCCTCTGGAAGAGCAGCCATTGCTTTTAACCACTGAGCCGTCTCTCCAGTCCTGCATGATGTTCTAAAATTAACCACAAAAGTTTGGGGCTGGGCAACTGGCTCAGCAGTTAGCTGCTTGCTCCAGAAGAATGAGGACCAGAGTTCAGATCCCTTGGACCCACGTAAATGCCAGGTGGGCCTGCCTATAATCCAGCCTCAAGGAGGTGGACACAGGGAATGCCCAGAGCAGGCTGACTAGCTATGGTACCACATCAGTGGGCTCCTAGTTGACTGAAAGACCTTGCCTTAGTGAATAAGGTAGAAAAGCAATCAACGAGGACGATTCCTGACATCAGCCTTTGGCCTCCACGTGTACCACATCCACAATATACAAAACATGCTTACACACATGCACAGCGCGGACACGCAAGTGGGGGGAAATTAACCACATATAGGCTAACAAGATGGCTAGTGAAAGCACTTGCTGTTAAAAAACAAAACAAAACAAAACAAAAACCATAGGATCTCTGGGCAGTGGTGGTGCACACTTTTAATCCCAGCACTCGGGAGGCAGAGGCAGCAGATCTCTGAGTTCAAGGCCAGCTCTGGGCTACAGAGTGAATTCCCGGACAGCCAGGGTTACACAGAGAAGCCCTGTCTTGAAAAACCAAAGCAATAGGATCTAAGTTCAAATCCACACCCACGTAAAAGCTGGGTGTGCAACAATGTTCCTGCAGCCCCAGCCCCCACAGGCCAGCTAGCCTAGCTGAACTGGGAAGCATTGGGTTCAGGAAGAGAATCTATTAAAAAAACAAACAAAGAAACAAGGAGAGCTATGGAGGAAGACACCTGATGTGCTCCTCTGGCCTCTGCATATATGTACATTAAAAACATGTGCATGTCCTCTCTCTTTCACACACTACCACACACACACACACACACACACACATTAACCACATGCTAGCACAAACAGCCATTGGAATGAGCTAAGTGGGTGAGATGTGCTTGTGATGGGGACAGGAGGAGACTGTGCTCTCTGCTAATGCCCAGCTGTCTCCACACAATAAATCTCAGCCTCCAGACTATGTAGGACTCCTGCCATTCCCATGACCCCGGACATCTGACTTTCAAGCCACAGGTTAACTCTGTGTGTGTGTGAGGGGGTGGGCAGATGTGGGGCGGGTGAGACGGGGGAGGGGAATGGGCAGTTCTCTCCTTCCACCATGTAGGTTCCAGGGATTAAACTCACGATGTCAGGTTTAACAGAAAGTACCTTTACCTGCTGTGCCGTCTCAGTGGCCCACAGACAAAGGTTTTCCGAAATTTGAGCTAAGGGTGCATAATGGCTGATAGAGACTTTCTTTGACAAATCAAAATTATCCCATACATCATTTTTTTCTTTAACATTTTATACTTAAAAAAAATCCCCCAAGGAGAAAAAAAGCATGCCATATTCAACATTCCTTAATGAGAAAAATTAAACAGTAAGTAATAAGACTGTTGGGTAAAGTGAGTTTTGAAGGACCACAAGCTATTGTACTTTCTAAGGTATTTTCATCTTCATGATTTTTTTCTTTTTTTAAGTGCCAGTATTTCTCTCATCAAAAATGTGTATGTTGGAGGAAGTTCAAATGTCTGTCTTTTGGGGATTTACTTTGTCATCTTAGATGGTGTCTTAGGGTTCTTTTTGTTGTGATGAAACACCAGGACCAAAGCAACTTGGAGAGGAAAGGGTTTATTTTGCTTACATTTCCACATCACTGTTCATCATTGGAGGAAGTCAGGACAGGAATCAAACAGGGCAGGAACCTGGAGGCAGGAGCTGATGAAGAGGCCATGGAGGGTGCTGCTTACTGGCTTGCTCCCCATGGCTTGCTCAGCCTGCTTTCTTGGCAAACCCAAGACCCAGGGATGGCACCACCCATAATGGGCTGGACCCTCTCCCACCAATTGCTAATTAAGAAAATGCCGCACAGTCTTGCCTACAGCCTGATCTTTATGAAAGCATTCTCTCAATTGAGGATCTCTCCACTCCGATGACTCTAGCTTGTATCATCAGCTAGTACAGACAGTCAGACAGAAAGACAGACAGATGGGCATTTCCTCCTCCTCTTCCTTTGTAAGCATGCAAGAACTCTATTCCTGAACTATTCCCCCAACTTCATCTGTGTGTGTGTGTGTGTGTGTGTGTGTGTGTGTGTGTTGCTTTTGCTTTCTTTCTTGACAAGGTCTCATGTAGCCCAGGCTAGCCTGGAACTCTCTATGTAGCTAAGGGATGACCTTGGACATTGGGTTTTTCTGCCTCTCTTTCCCTGAGTGCTGGGATTACAGGCATGCATCTCCAAGCTTGGTTTATGCAGTGCTGAGGCTCAGACCGAGGGCTTTGTGTATGTTAGCCTTCTACCATCTGAGCGACATCAGTAGCCCCCATACATGCATCATTCTTAATTCAAAAATTATGGGATGTACCCAGCAACTAAGGTTGCAATGCTGAATAGAAACAAAACAAAAGAACTCAGTTGGTTATGGATGTTTTATTAATTGACTTTTTCCTTATTCTAATTAAGTGATTTTGGTCTTTCCTTTGTTTAATTTTGTTGCTCTGAGTCAGGGTCTCACTCTGTAGCCCTGGATGGCCTCGAATTCACAGAGATTCACATCCCTTTGCCACCGTGCTGCTGGGACTAAGGTGTGTGCCACCACACTTTGCTCCACACTTTGCTCTTATCTACTTTTGGTAGTATACATGAAGGGATCTGTCTAAAACTAACTTCACTGGGGCTAGAAAGATGGCAAGGTGCTTAAAAGCACTCTGCACTCTTTTTGTTTGTTTGTGTTGTTTTGTTTTCAATACAGGGTTTTTCGATGTAGCCCTGGCTATCCTGGAACTCGCTCTGTAGACCAGACTAGCCTCAAACTCAAAGATCTGCCTGCTTCTGCCTCCCAGAATGCTGGGATCAAAGGTATGTGTGCTGGGCTAGCAGTCAGTACCATTGTAGAGGTCCTGAGTTTGGATCCTAGCAGCCACATAGCAGCTCACAACTATTTGTAACTCAGTTCAGGGGCTCTAGTGCCCTCTTCTGGCCTCCCTGGTCACCAGGCATCCACATGGTGCTTATACACACGTGCAGGCAAAAGCCCACACACATAAAATAAAAAAATAAGTGAATCTTCAAATTTGACCTCACGGGTCTCATTCTGGTGTTAAGTCATGGTCCCTTTTTTCAATGAACTCATGACCACCAGTTGATACCAATGTGACATATATCTGTTGCTAGAGTTTTCCTGCCTGGCCCACAGTCAGGACAAATCTCTCTCACCTGCCAGTCCCACAGGCGTCAGACCCGACCAAGTAAACACAGAGACTTGTATTGGTTTCAAACTGTATGGCCATGGCAGGCTTCTTGCTAACTGTTCTTACAGCTTAAATTAATTCATTTCCATTAATCTATACCTTGCCACATGGCTCGTGGCTTACCGGTATCTTCACATTCTGTTTCTCATCGTGGCGGCTGGCAGTGTCTCTCTCTCTCAGCCTTCCACTTCCCAGCTTTATTCTCCTCCTTCTCCCGCCTACACTTCCTGCCTAGCCAATGGCCAATCAGTGTTTTATTTATTGACAAATTAGCAACACATTTGCCATACAGAACATCCCACAGCATATATCAGAGTCCCCACAGTCACCACACAGGTTTTCTCTTCTCCTGCCATTATGTTCTTAGAACATTCCACAAGAACTTTAGTCATTCCTAGTTAGTCCTGAAGTTATGTAACCACCACTGCCATTTCAGTCTCTCCAGGGTGCCTACCCGACCCTGGTGGGTTCTGGGGTGGACACCTTCAACCAGATCTCAATCACTTTGGCACCCGCAGACAGACATCTTTGCTGAAGAGGCTCTTCTGCATCCCTGGACTGGCCCAGCTGTTTATCAAGGATAAAGAAAGCAAGGTGGTGTCATGTACCTTCAAGACAAGCCTGGCTTTTCCTTTGTAGCCTTCGAGCTGGAATGGCACATTTGAATCAGCTGGGATTACTGGGGTGGGGGTGGTAGGCACCTGTTCCCTAAATAGCATTTCCTTCCCTTGCAAACCCAGACACAAAAGAAATCAACTCCTGATCTTGCCCACTGTGAAGGGGGTAATGAATGCTGGGCTCAGAGTTTATTTTCTGTCCATAGCCCATTTACTCCGAGAACCTGAGTAAAGCTCTTAGTCTATTTGCCCCACATCCCTGTCTTCTAGAACACAGATACAGTGTCACTAATCTGTAGCTCACCTCACTGGGATATCGAAAGAGACGAGGAGCACCAGCCTTTGGGAAAAAGCCTTGGAGGACCTGAAATGTGTGTAAACTCAAGGATTTATTATAAGAATTATAAACAGACCTGAACTTCAGCCCAATAAAAACTTTCAGGAGTTGTAAAGTTCCTGTGGTTCTTTCTGAACGTGTGCTAGCCACACCCCACGATAAAATCAAAACAAAACCAAGGCAACAGCCCATGTTTGTTGGCCTTTTCACCTGAGAAAACTGCCTGCCTGTTGTGCGCACACTGATTTCCCAGGGATGCTCCTGTGTTTATTACTCGCATTGATGTTTGCCAAGTGGCCCGTGGGCCCAACCCTTTGCTGGAGAAAAGTAGTAAAGCTGAAGGAAATAGTGACAGTTTGAACATCTGATATCATCAGCCTGGCAAGGGATTTTCAAAATCTAAGCAGAGCTACCTAAAGGAGAGGTCTCAGGTATGGTCCTTGAACCTGTCCCCAAAGCAGGCTCCTCTCTCACCTTCCTGCCCCTGCTCTGAGACACACTGGTCTTGCAGATCCATTGCCAACTTCTAATCTATATGCCCTATATCTGGAAGATGCAGCAGGGTCTCTGGGAGGGGAAACCCATCCCTATGAGGGACGAAGACTCAATCCTAAAGTGAGGTGAAGCACAATAATCCTGAACTGAAGAATCAGGAAAGGGATTAATTAGTCCTCAGTTTACTTGACTCCTAAAATCCTAGGTATTGACAAAGCCTCTAGCCACCAGCCTGTCACCTTGAAAATTCCTGCCTTGATTAGTAAGGGTGCAGGGCAAAAGAGGTACAGGAGAGCTGCTGTTCCACTCGGCTCTCTCAGGAAAGGGCAACTACGTGGGAGTGATTTTCAGTAGGAGTCTGCCATTGGCAAGAGTTTCTCCTCTGGGAGTATCACCCATCAAGTCTCAGAGGCCACTGGTCACTACTTGGTGCACTCAAAGTTGATCAGGCTCCTGGATCGAATAGGTGCTGACTGTGCTACCCAAGACCCTTAAGACAGGGCTGGAGAGATGGCTCTGCAGTTAAGAGCGTGTGCCGTGCTAGCAGAGGACCAGAACTCAGTTCCCAGATCCCACATTAGGCTGTTCACAACTGCCTGTGTCTCCAGGTCGTGGGAATCCAACAGCCTTCTGGTCTCCATTGACACACGTGTCTGTCTGTCTGTCTGTCTGTCTCTAATTCAGTTTTACATGGATGGGTGTTTTGCCTGCATGTGTTTGTGCATCACATGCGTGCCTGGTGCCAGTGGAGGCCAGAAGAAGGTGTCAGATCCTTAGGAACTGGAGTTACAGATGGTTGTAAGCCACCATGTGAGTTCTCTATAAGAGCAGTCAGTGATCTTTTTTTTTTTTTTTTTTGGTTTTTGAAGACAGGATTTTTTTCTGTACAACAGCCCTGGCTGTCCTGGAATTCACTTTGTAGACCAGACTGGCCTTGAACTCACAGAGATCCGCCTGCTTCCGCCTCCCGAGTGCTAGGCTTAAAGGAATGCACCACCACTGCCCAGCTGAAGTCAGCGCTCTTAATCTCTTCACTATCTCTCCATTCCACAAATCTCTGGCCTCTGTGGGGCTTGCACACGCTCAGTGCACACACATACATGCAGCCAAGACACTCATAAATAAAATACATCTTTTTTTTTTTTTAATAAAATACATCTTAAAAAATACTCAGCAGTTAAGAGCACTGACTCCTCTTCCGGAGGACCCAGGTTCAATTCCCAGCACCCACATAGCAGCTCACAACTGTAATTCCAGGATCCAACACCCTCACACAGACATACATACAGGCAAAACACCAATAAAATAAAAATTAATTTAAAAAAAATAGCCTCTAGACTATGTCAGCTAAACTGGTGATGGATTTATCCATTCCAGTAGGCAGTAGAACAAAGCAATCGTGAACCTGGGCTTTGCATCCACATGTCCTGACAGTCCACTCCCAGGTATTTGCCCAAGAGAAGCAAACATACGTGCCTACAAACACTCACACATGAAAGCTCACAGCAGCCTGACACAAAACAGTCAAAAAGTAGCAACAATTCAAACGGCAGAATCCTTGTGATACATTCATGCAATAGATTATCATTCAGAACACTTTTTTCCTCATTGGCCGTCTAGAAGCAAGCTCTACTGGAGTCACCCAGTTAGGCCAGGGTTCTTGCTCTTGCTATGTCTGCTTTAACTGTCCTGGTCTGATCTGAGCCGGAAATACTGAGCGTGAGCTGTTAGTGTTTCCGTCAGTACTCAAAGAACATAGGCTTCATTAAGTTGGACTAAGCGACCCTGAGTGGATTATTCAAGATTTGTCTACCCAGAGACATGATCATGCTAGTCTTTGTACATGAAGACGATATAAAAATGGAAAACCAGCCGGGCGGTGGTGGCACACGCCTTTAATCCCAGCACTCGGGAGGCAGAGCCAGGCGGATCTCTGTGAGTTCGAGGCCAGCCTGGGCTACCAAGTGAGTCCCAGGAAAGGCGCAAAAGCTACACAGAGAAACCCTGTCTCGAAAAAACCAAAAAAAAAAAAAGGAAAACCTTCAAAAAATGTCATTGAGAAAAAAAGGTGGAGTGGTGGTAGATGGTCCAGTATGGATGAACCTTGAAAAGTATCACCAGTAGTGAGGGAAACCAGCCAGTAAAGGTCACAGGATGAATGATCCCATTTACATGAAACATCCAGAGTAGCTATTCCACAAACACATAAAGTAGATCAGCGGTTGCCTAGGGCTGGGAGGCGGGGCAGTGGAAATGAATGTTAAAGGCTATCCGGTTGCTCTTTGGGGTGAAAAAAAAAAACAAACTTGGTTGTATTGAGGGTTACATAACCTTGCATATATATATACATAACCTCTCCTCCTCCTCTTCTTTACTGAGAATCAAATCTAAGACCTTCTGCACACTATGCAAAAGCTCCAAGTCAGGGATCCTGGTATAGAGCTGTAATCCCAGCACTTGGGAGGTGGAGGGTCGAGGAGAAGTTCAAGGTCATCTTCAGCCATACAGTGAGTTTGGGGCTAACCTGGAGCACATGAGACCCTACCTCAGAATAAAAAAAAAAAAAAAAAACCTTAATAAATAAATAATAGGAAAGGCTCTTTGGTCCTGAGGCAGAAGCCAGGTGACAGGAGAAAGTGTGCGATGCGTGTGCACTGCTGCCTCCTTCAGAGGTCCGCGCTGGTGAAGGTGACTTCCCCGCCAAGACTGAGATACCTGAAACCTGTCGACTGCGGTTCAGACATCAGTGCCGAATGGGACACCTAAACTCAAGAGGGTGGCTGCTGCAGCACCCCGTTCATCCTGATGACTTCAGCTCAGTCATAAAACGAAAAAAGCTATATAACTGACCACGTTTTTTTAAAATGACCGCTTTTGCTGGGGCAGAGGGCACATGCTGTGACAACATGTATGTGGAGGTCAGAGGACGTTCGTTGGCATTGGTTCTTTCCTTTACCACATGGGTCTCAGGGATCGAACTCAGGTCACCAGCCTTAGCAGGAGGCACCTTTAGCAGCTGAGCCATCTCACTGGACCCACATTCCTCCTCTTGTTTGTTTTGACAACAGTTTTCGATGTAGCCCAGGTTAGACTAGAATTCAAAATCTTCCTGTCCCTGCCTCCCCGGTGCTGAGATTACAGGCTTGTACCCATGTTTTATGCCAAGTAAGTGAATTTTATGGCATGTGAATAATATCTCAATAAAGTTTTTTTATTTTGTTTTTTTTGTTTGTTTGTTTGTTTGTTTTTGAGATGGGGTTTCTCTGTGTAACAGGCCTGGCTGTCCTGGAACACCTTTGAAGATCAGGCTGGTTTCAAACTCAGAGAGATCCACCTGCCTCTGCCTCCTAAGTGCTGGGACGACTAAAGGTGCGTGACACCACTGTCTGGCTTCAATAAAGGTATTTCACAGACACATGCACAAACACACAGTACACATGAATGACCTTGGCCTTTGATGTCACTCTGCCTGCTGTGAATCCTGTCACAGGGTGCACTTAGACTCACCCAGCTTCAGTTTTCTCATCTCTGAAATAAAGATGACAGTTACTGTGTGGAGATTTGGAACACACGTAAGTACGTGGCAAAACTCAGAATAAGGGTTAACTATGCAGAGCCAAGACATGGACTCAACCTCATGCCCACTGACAGATAAAGAAAATGTATCTACACTGGTGGGTTATTATTTAACCATAAAGAAAAACTGTTATTTGCTGCAAAATCCAGGTGGAGGACAGTATGCTAACTGAAATAAACTGGTCACAGAGAGACAAATGTTGATCTGAACATGGAAGAGTAATGGTTGCAGGTAGCAGAAAAACAGGAACATAGGATAATGGTGCATTTGTGGATTGGATGTATAATGTCTGTCCACTTGTTTGAACACTTGCTTGTTAGCTGATGGCATTGTTTGGGGATTTGTTTATATTGGGTTGGTTTGTTTGTTTGTTTTCTTGATAGGGTTTCTCTGTGTAACAGCCCTGGCTGTCCTGAAACTCACTCTGTATACCAGGCTGGCCTCGAACTCACAGAGATCCGTCTGTCTCGCCTCCTGGGAGTGCTGGGATTAAAGGTGTGTACCACCACTGCCCGTCCTGTTTATTGTTTATTTTTGAGACAGGGTCTTGCTCTGTAGCCCACACTGTTCTGAAACTTACGATGTGACCCAGGCTGCTCTTGAACTTGTAGTAATCCTGCCTTAGTCTCCTAAGGTTTGGATTACAGGAGTTAGCTACCATGTAGATTTCATTTGCACTCAACCTGGAAAGCCCTTCAGTGATGTGTTTGCCAAAGTTATATGACTGTGTGCCAGGTACCATTCTAGTGCTTGGAAAATGGCAATCACTAAAATGCAGGTAATTTCCTGCTCGTACAAAGCTTAGATCCCGTGGACGGAGGCTGGCACCCCATGAATACACAAAAACATACGGCAAGCAGAGATCAGTACTCTGAAAAGGAAAAGAAAAGGTTAGCCTTAAGGAGACTGGAGAGGGAGGGTATGTTAGGTCGGAGGTCGGGAGAGTCCTCTCAGAGAAGGGGACATCTTGGGTGTGGAAAACTCCTGGGGAAGGTAGCAATGGCTGTAGGAACAACTG